TAAAATAAGCATGCTATATTTGCTTTCTTATTCTTTCATTTTGAGCAATGTATATCCATTTTTCAAACGCCCATTTTAAGCTATATATGTATTTCTTGAGTTGACGTCGGTAAGCCTCTAATTTTAGACATAGCTCAAAAGCTCGTTTATGAAAATAGACATTGCTTGTAATACGCGTTTGAAAAATGCAGATATATAGTTGTTAAGTCGTGTTTTAAAAATGAACATAGGATATGCGACTTGTGAAAATTAAACAAAACTCAATATGCTTGTTTAAGAAAATGAATTTAGCTATTGATTTAAACCCGTATTTTAAGCAATGTTTTTTTTTTTAATCACACTCACATTTGGAGCTATGTATGAACAATTTTTTGAACGTGCATTTCAAGCTATATCTATTTATTTTCTTTAACTCTCATTTAAGCTATGAGCAGAAAAAAAAAAAAATCTCGCTTACGATAAATTGATAGTCTTTAAGAAAAGGAGGTTTAAAACTCAAAAATATAATAGCTAAAAATTACAGTTCACTTGGTCCGCGTACTTATTTGACAGTATGATTAGGGATTAGAGAAAATTGTAGGTTTTAAAGTTTGAAAGAGAGAGAGACGCGTTGTTGATGTTTACATAAGCTTCTGTTTTGAAGTACACGCCCATCTCGTTATTTTCTAAATGGTCTAAAATGCCATATTATGTCTTGAAAGGACATACTAATAGTCAAATTTCAGTGCTTTACCATTTTTTTTATCAATTTGGCAACATTTTTTACGTGGAAATCTGTAACTAGAAATAGCGATTTACAAAGTGTTTTTTCTTATTTTATTGTTATTTTTAAGAGTTATTTCAACAAATCATATTCGTTTAAATTCTTAGCCCGATTCAATAAAATTAAACTTTTTGGGGTTAAGCAACTGCATTCAAAATTGAGCTATAGTTTCGCTAGGCATTTTCTTATCGTAATTTGATCGTGCATAATGACATATAATTAATAATNCCCCCCCCCCCCAAGTAACTGCTATTTTTAGTTCATTGATCTTTCTAAAGCATGGAAGATGGTTTACACTATATTCATTCAACCCTTTTGCGGGATTCTCCTTTCATAGCCCACTCCTTTCACACATAAAACGAGCCTTTCTGACTCTAGCCGCACAAGATTACACGGATGTGATCTTAACACAGTCTTCTCGTATCACATCTCATATTAGTACGTATACGTAGTTTTTAGTACGTCGGCCCTACATACTTTCTTAGTACGTACTCTCGGAGTATGCCGGTTTACAGAAGTTCATCTTTCACATTCGGCCGGCCCAGAAAGGGTTAAGTGGTTAATGATAGGGTGAGGAAGGATCTAAATCGATACTGTTTACTTAATGCCATTTAATCGATATTATTTTAGTTATTAAATCGATTCTGTATTAAATCGATACTGTATTAAATCGATACTATTTTAATCGATACTGTTTACAGCAAAATAACAGGTAAATAAAGTCAAAATTTGGATTCTAGTAAGGCTGGACAATATATCAATATGGCGAGAAACTTTAATATAATATCTTGCAATCATTATCGACAGAGATAATTATAGAATACGAAAATTTTGCAACTATTATTGACAATTATTGAATACGATAATGTGATCATTATCAACAAAAACAAGTATCTAAGAGGATAATATAGCAACTAATCTATTTAATCAATATTATTTTAATTATTAAATCGATACCGTATTAAATCGATACTGTACTAAATCGATACTATTTTAATCGATACTGTTTACTGCAAAATAATAGGTAAATAAAGTTACAATTTGGATTCTAGTAAGGCTGGACACTATATCAATATGGCGAGAAACTTTAATATAATATCTGCAATCATTATCGACCGAGGTAATTATAGAATACGATAATTTTGACACTATTATTGATAATTATTGTGAATACGATAATGTGATCATAATCAACGAAAACAAATATCTAAGAGGATAATATAGCAACTAATCTATTCAATCGATATTATTTTAATTATTGAATCGATACTGTATTAAATCGATTCTATTTTAATCGATACTGTTTACTGCAAAATAATAGGTAAATAAAGTTCACTAACCATTATTCTTTTGGGAATTGAGTCAGGAAAGTTTTCCTTTCATTTGACAAAAGAGCACCGCAAGGGTGAAAGTACATCTTGGCTCAGAGACCAAGAACAGCCCATTCGTGAGGCGACTTCCTCAATTTAGACATAGATTTGAAGGAGAAGGAAATTTTCTTCAGATCCCTGTACCCATGGTACTGCTCGGCGACCGACCAACAGGGCTTGCGATTCCACAGATTTTACAATCAAGTATATCGCATGCACTCGGTGGATCTTAGTTGAGTCAAGGATCGACCTCCTGCCCCTCCAGGACCGGAGTCCGACACTCGAACCACGGGGCTACCACGACCTTATACAAAAGTATATGTAAGAAGAAAAAAAAATTAAAAATATTATTTTTGTGCTAGGAAAAATATCTAAAATTTGGAAGAAAAAACAGTATATAAATGTATATTTTACGAATCACAGCATCAAACAATTTTACACCGAACATAAACACTATAAATAAAGTACTCACCAATTTATTAATAATTTTTATGAAATAATTGTTACAGATGAAAGAAAAATTTAATTACGAAAAGCACATATTAATGTCAGGAAGAATAAAAAAGGTTAAAGAAACATAGACGGCGAAAAACAAACAACAGAAACTTTCAGTGAAACGTCTTTGGGATAACAGAAACGAAAATTATAATTTAGTTGAAATTTCAGTGAAATTTTGGGGAAAGTAAATTATCTTTCTTAACGGAAAATAACTGCCGTCCTCATCACGGCTGCTGTTTCAAAAAATTCTCGTCCAACGAGTTTCTAACTCTTACAACTTAAAAATTTTTAGATGTAAGAAATTCTTCTTATTTTTGAAGAAATGTTTAAGAAACAATCTAAATTAAATATATTTTATGACCGTCGTTGAACGGTCGACCCAATTTTAGGGTTTGCGACTACTAATGTTCAACTCCGTCACCTTCTAATTTTGAATCCAATCCAGAAGACAAGGGAACTTCTGGATCAAGTATTGGGAGAAATTTACCTTCGTGGAGGATTTTTTGATGGAACTAACCCACATTTGCGTTACATAGAGAGAAAAATCACTAAAACTTCCTACGGTTAGCCTGATGGCAAGGAGACTCTAACCCATGATCCGTCCACCACTGAGGATATTCTACGTCAGCACTGTGGTTGGTGCAAGCCTGATGCATATCGACCACCCATCACCGGTATTTGAACCCGGTTCGCCTCTTTGGAAGGCGAATGCTCTATCCCCTGAGCCATCACGGCTCAATTGACTACATTGAAATTTTTTTAAATTTTTTAAGCAAAGAAAAAATTAATCACATCAGTAAAATTATAATTTTTTGCAGCCACGTATTCTTATGGCTGATGATGAATTGAATTAATTTCGATTGAATTAATGCTTCGGTTGGATTAAGGAACGATTTTGAATTATTTTCGGTGTGAAAAAAACACCAAAAACTTTAAAAAAAAAAAAAAAAACTTAAACCAAAACTTTAAAAAAAAAAAAAAAACTTAAACCAAAACTTTAAAAAAGAAGCACCGCAACTTAAAAGTTTTGGTGTTTTTTTTTTCCCCTTTTTTTTATACACATAATCCAGAAAAGTTAACAAGAAATGGTATTTTATTACGTCTTTTGGATAGAAAGATAACTAAATATTCTTCTTTCATTACAAGCGATTTGTTTTTTGGATTACTTTAACTGGGAAGCTTTTACAAAAAACTAACATTACTTTAACTAGGAAGCTTTTATAAAAAACTAACATTGTGGATTCTTGGATTTTTCTTCTTTCTTCGATTGTGGTTTATTCCGTGATAGTCTAAGAGGCATGTGTGTATGATGTCAGACTACCGTTTCCTTTCTTTCCGGTGTTTTTATTCATTTGTTAGGAATTATTTTTACGATAAGAATTTTTAAAAACATATGTGCGATCTTAATTTTATTATTAGGTTGAATTAATTGGTTGAATTCGATTATTGAACTGTATTTAAAATTAAAAATTTAAGTTTAACTCTTTGACGCAGAATTTTTCTTAAATATATTTTAATTAAACGTGATGACTGATGAACTTCCTTCAGATCTATTTCTAAATTTTGGGGTAAATTACCAGAAATTTACCCCAAAGAATCCGAAAAAAAAATCGAGAAAAAAAATACCGAGAAAAAAAAATCCAAAATCTCTTTACTATACAAGTATGTTTTTCACCCGAATTTTATTCCCAGTGTATAAAACAATAATGAATAAATAGATCATTCATTGGAAATAAAGAGAATACTCTCAATTTCTACGAAAAGGATAAGCAAAGATACATTGATATTTTATTCCCTCATACATAAGAAAGTAATAATAATCAATTATACAATCCATTCTATTTCAATATATTTCGCTTATATTTACCGAAAGGAAAGAGAGAAAATAGAAATAAACTACAATAATTTGACTTTTAAATTCATTCATAAATTTTTTAGGCAATAATAAATACAACATTCATAATAAAACATAATCATTTTTCAGCATAAATCAATAATCCATTCATAAATAAGCAATAAGCATAAAACAATAATGAATACATCAAAAATCAGAAACACATATGATGACTACTCTCCTCTTCCAAGAAAAGGATTAGAAAGAAACATTGAAGTTTCTTTCCCCCAAAGCGTAAGAAAGCAATAATAATCAATTATACGATCTGTTCCATTGCTTTACCGTTATGTTTACCCAAAGGAAATAGATAAAAAAGAACGAAGATAAAATTAAAAGAAAGAAAGAAAGAAAAAATGTTTTCCAAACACTTGACACAACTATCTTCTAACCTCCTCTAATAGTCGACTCTTCTTTACCGAAGTCGCATCGCATGGCGATTGGCCAGTCTCAATGGCGCGTAATCTTATTGCATTGAGCAACCCTAAAATCTTTCTCAGTTAGTATTTCGCTTTCAATGAAACGAAACCTAAGTCAGTGCTCTTACTAAGGGATATTCGCGTAGTTCTATTACATAGCGAAAAGGTAGTTATTATTTTGGTTTCAATTTATAAATAAAAAAGTGGGATCTTCCTTTTATCTTTTCATTTTAAAATTGAAAAAAAGTTTTTGGTGTATTTTTTGAGACACACCCACTTGTTGACTTTGCGCGCAAACCCACGTGGTCTCCGAATGTTTTCCTTTCTGAACGATGGTAAGTGTTTCTAGTTCTTTATCTTTACAAGAAAATACCAATCTCACTGTATACAATATTCGATAAGATATTTGAAATTTAGTTTCGATAGTTTTTCGCCATTAAAGAAAAATTTAAATTACTATTGCAAATTATAGAATTCTTTGTAATATTAATTTGTTTACATTCTTACATAAAATTTCAATATTCATTTTCCGGTTTGAAGTATTTTTAAAAAAGTATTTCCTTATTATGTCATTTTTTTTTTAAACAAATTGTTAATTCATAATAATTTTTTTTCTTCTATGTAGCAAGCATTTTCACTTTTACTAAATTTTTCGTATTTCTTCGTGGGCCAAAACAAATTTTAAATCATGAATGAAAAAATTTAGAACATAATTTTAAAAAAAAAAAAATTGTATTATTTATAGAGAATAAAAGAATGTCTATGATTATTTTAGATTTTTGTTTTTAATTAGCTAGAAAAACTAACTTCATTAATAATATTAATTTCTCGAAACGAATGGATGTTTTGTTAATTAATTCTTTTTTAAATTATTTCTTTGTTGAAACTGTTTTCAATGTTTCTGTATTTTTTCAACGTGTAAATTTTTCTAGTAATTTAATATATTTTTTTTAATATTAAATACTTCTTTCAAATTTTATTTTTTAATATTAGATTATGAAATTAGTTAAAAAATTCACGTAATTTAATATTAGTTTTATTGTGTCAATAGATACAATAAAACTAGTAAAAGTCTTAAATTTACTTATTTGTTTTTAAATTTAAACTAAAAGTTTAATGTTTAATAATTTAAAATTAATTAAAATTTTAAAATTTTTTTGCATTTTTAGTTGCAATAATTTTTTATTTATCTATTGATTAAATACAGTTTTACTTATGAGTTAATTTTTAATTAATATATCGACTAATTAATTAATCATGTTGTAAATTATTTAATAAAAGGCGTAAAATATTATAAAATACTTTTTTTGCTTTATATACTTAGTTATTCTGTAAATGAATATAATGATTTAAAGGCAAATTGTACTAAAAGCGTTTATTCATTGAAATAAATTTGGATCCTTTTTCCTTTACCGTAGACTTCATTAATCTAATACAAGTATCGCGTTCAACTAGTTTTATTTTCAAATAAAATGCAAATCAGCATTAACTAAACATTCCTTTAGCTTCTTTTGCTGTTATTTACAAACATTGAACAGTAATTTCAATTCTTTGAATAAATAAGTGTGTGGAAATAATTAATTTTTATTGGTAAATGCTTCTAAATTTTTTTTTATAAATCTTTTAATGGCTTTTTCCATTTAATACAATTTGGAATTTATGTAATCTGTAATTATAATTTTAAAAAATGAAGGCAAGAACCTAAATAAAAATATTGAAAGAGTAATTGAATCGTAATTTAACGTTATTTTTTATCAAATCTTTTTAATTAGTTTTTTATAATTCAGAAAGAATATTATTAAATTTGTATTTATTCAGGACTTTAGTTTGTTTATGAGGTGAGATCGTAATTCCCTTTAAAAATGATTTTTCAAACATTTATTTTATAAAGCTTATATTAATTTTTTCTCATGTGATTTTTATTGTAAAGCTTTAAGAAATAATTAACTTTGTTCTTTGTTTATAATAACAAGCGACGCTAAACTTCATTTGAAATCAACTCTCAGTCCGTAAACACAATTCCTTTTTTCACTTCCTCTTTTTATCTCTTTTCATCTTCAAGTTATATATTTTTAGATGTTTCTTTTCGATTTCTATCATGAATAATTAAATTTCTGAGTTATTTAAATTAATTTTTTTTTTATTTCAATGATAATAGAATAATATTAGTTTTAGTTCATTTAGAGCTTTTGATGCGGTGAATAATTCTAATAAAATTTTCATTTCTAATACAAGTTGAAAATTGCTTCTCTGGATTATTTACGGAACATCCAATTACGCGACTACTTATTTATTTATTTATTTTTATTCAATATAGTGCCTGATTAATCCTAATGGCTGTGAGGTGCGGGCTTAAGACCCACAATTTTCTAGAGACCCTTTAAATTTTGCCAATAATTCATTGCTAATTTTCCATCAGAATTGTTTGCTTAAATTATGAGTTAAAAATTTAAATAAATATAAGCATAAATTCTCTAAACATAGCATAATTCTTTTGTTGTTAATAATTTTAAAAATTTTTTATACGTAAAATGTACAAAGTACAAAGAAAAAAAAATAAAACCGAACCACCTCAGACGGGCGACCTCAAATATGCTAATTAATTAGTTCAAGCGATATTTTTAGTTACGAAATCAAACTAAAAAACGTACTTAGTCTAAATAAATATAGAGAATTCAGATTTTTGACCCCCAAAATATAGGAAGTAAATTCAATTTAGGAAATATGGTCAGGAGCGGTTCAAAGTTTGGATTCCTTAATGTTAGTTTTACTCTTTTGCGTATTTTACCATAACTCGAGAACTTTATTTAAGAAATTTTGTTGTACACTAATAAATCTCATTTATCCGAAGTAATTTCTATGCAAAAAAGAAAATACTATATATTTATTTATTTTTATTATGTTATTTGATAATAGTCGAAAAGATGAGAGCCTGAAAAATCGAATTATAAATATATGAAATATAATCTTTAAAATTCTATTTCTTTGGAGCTATACAACCGATTTCGCTCAAATTTTATATTTTGCCATGCTAAATTACATACTTTAAAATGATATAAATAGTTTATACCNAAAAAAAAAAAAAAAAAAAAAAAAAAAAAACTGGACCACCTTAAACGGACGACTTCAAATATGCTAATTAATTAGTTCAAGCGATACTTTTAGTTACGAAATCAAACTAAAAAATGTACTTAGTCTAAATAAATATAACCTTTTCTGATGAATTCAGATTTCAGACCTCCAAAATATAAGAAGTAAATTCAATTTAGGAAATATGGTCAGGAGCGGTTCAAAGTTTGGAACCCTAAATGTTAGTTTTACTCTTTTGCGTATTTTACCATAGCTCGAGAACTTTATTTAAAAAATTTTGTTGTACACTAATAAATCTCGTTTATTCGAAGATAATTCTATGCAACAAAAAAAAATTACTATATATTTATTTATTTTTATTACGTTATTTGATAATAGTCGAAAAGATGAGAGCATGAAAAATCGAATTATAAATATATGAAATATAATCTTTAAATTTCTATTTCTTAGGAGCTATACAACCGATTTCGCTCAAATTTTATATTTTGCCATGCTAAATTACATACTTTAAAATGATATAAATAGTTTATACCTTGCTATTCGAAATCTTTTCGACTATTATTAAATAAAATGATAAGAAAATTATAAATATATACAACTAAATTTTTTTTTTGCATCGAATTATCTTTGGATGAAAGAATTTTATAAATGTGTGCAAAAAGTGGTGAATTCGCTTAAAAAAGTTCTCGAGCAAAAAATACGCAAAAGTAAAATTAACGCTCGAAATACGCAAAAAGTAAAATTAACAGTAAGGGGTCCAAGGAGGCGCTCCCCTGATCAAACTATTGAGATTTTATTTCCCAGATTGCGGCTACCCCCTATATTCTGGGGGGTCAGAAATCCGAATAAGTCGAAAAAGGTGTGTTTATTCAGAGAAAGTACGTTTTTGTGTGTGAATCGTACCTTGAAATATCATCTGCACTTTTAAGATCACTTTCTCGAGCCATTAAGATTGAGTCCTAAGAGGTAAAAGTCCGATCTAGATCAAAAGTTATTTAGAGTGTTCTTTTTCTTTTCCTTTTTTTGCGCACTGCACATTTAGTTCAAGATTATGATCAGTATTGTAGAGCCCCTTGCGGTTCTGTGCACTGTTTCTAAATTTAGCCTTGATACAATTATCTTCTCATATGGTATACGTTCGTATCTGATGTTATATCATGTACAAAACAATAATTGAAAAAGAAGTTTCCTAATTATATTCAAAGCACATAATTAAAGAACCAGTCTAGGGTGAAGATCAGCTGATAATTAGAATGATTTAAACCACTACTAATTTTTTTAAGTGTATTCCTTTTTAAGAAAATAGTTAATTCAAGTTATCGACACCTAATTATCATCAATAAATTACATTAACTATGAACTCAATCATGGGATTAATCATCTAAAAAAATTCTTTTAAAACCGAAGTTGTCTTCAGATGTAAATCAGTTTTATAAAGATATTTTAATAGCCAGAGGCTATCATTATTTATCCTGTTGAAAAATTTTCAATATCTGATTTATAACTTGTCTTAATATCGACATCAAACAGCTCCCGAATTGTTTATGAACTGTGACAAGCAGTTGGTTTTACTCATGCTATATTTAAAGTTTGATATAATGAATCATTTCAAGAACTGAATGTAGATGTTTATTTTTTTTGATGTATAGCTGCTTGTTTTGATTAATTATTGCTCTACATGTTTCTTGATGTAGTATTATCATGCGTAAAAATCAAAATTAGTTTAATAGTTGAATTCCGTAATTTCAAATCAAATTTAATAAAGTTTTATCACTATTCATATTTTCTCTGTTAGATATACTGGAGAAAGTAAAATAATGTTAAAACCTTACGTTGAAGTGAAATTGGTATTGCCTAAAACAGTTTAGTTACGAAGCATATATTTACTGGCTGTGCAGCTTTTTGTGCTCCATTGGCACAGTTGGTTCAGGCTGTTTTCGAAGGCGAATAATCTGCTATTTGTATAACTGCTATGAGTTTTCAACTGTTACTTATTACTGTTAGGCCAAGTTTAGCCTATCCAAAGCCAGCGTTGTCTACGCTTATTTTGAAAATGGCGGAAGCTTAAACTTTTGTTGCATTTTAAGCAACAATGAATAATTAAAGAACAATGTTAATTTCAAAATAACATGTGTCGCGAATTGTTTATTTTTGCCTCGTAGCTTTTCTTGACTTAGAAATATGCTAATTTGTGTCATAAAACTGGAATATTATCAATATTACTGTTATTCGGGAAAGAATTAAT